TGTCTCCTGCACAGTAATAGATTGCCGTGTCCTCTAGTTTGAGGCTGTTCATTTGCAGATACAGCTGGCTTTTGGCATTGTCCCTGGAGATGGTGAAGCGGCCCTTGACTTTGTCTGAGTAGTAAGTACTTGAACCAGCAGTTATCCAGGCCACCCATTCCAGTCCTTTCCCTGGAGCCTGTCTCACCTAGTGCATGTCATAGCTGCTGAAGGTGAATCCAGAGGCTTGGCAGGAGAGACGGAGGGACTCCCCAGGTCTTCTCACATCCCCTCCAGACTCCACCAACTGGACCTCAGATTGTACACCTGAAAAGAAGGATTTTTCATTGAGATTTCCTGTATATAAGAACAGAAATTGAAAGGAAACTCTAGATAGAGTGAAACATTACCTGCAAGGAGTACAAGGAAGAACAAACAGTTTAGGCTCAGGATCATTTCTGCCTCTCTTTAAAAAATGGACGATATATGACATAAAAGATTTGGGAAAAACTTTGTCTCGGTGGTTGTAAACGGTTGCCTTTTAAAGGGGGTCTTGTGATTTCATTTACATATTGCTTGAGATAAAAGAGTTCCCCAGAGCTTAGTCCCGGGTTAAAACTCTTGGTACAGACACAAATTCATATTCATTTTACATACCATTCCATATCTTATTAGCATTTTCAATTTTCTATATAACTTCTCTCTTTTAAAGCAACTTTCAGAAAAGAGGTTTTTTAAGCTTCTATGTTTTGTGTTTCTGTGTGTTTATGTTTTGTATGTTTTTAAAAATTAATAAAATTTGTTCAAAAAAAAAAAAGAGTTCCTCAGAGCAAAATTTTCATAGTTCCCCTTGCACAGGCCATGCACAGTTGATTTTTAAGCAATTTTCCAGCCCAAAGAAAAATGAAGCAGCCATTCTAGAAGAGCAACTGAAACAAGGACTTGCAAAATTTCATCACTTCTGAAATGTGATTCATAGTAACAAATCATGAAAATAGCAGCACATCTGAGTTCAGGAAAGGTTTCATTTGTTTTTCGTCGGTAATGTGACATTTTGAAGAAACCTAAGGATCATTTTGGTTTTAGATGCTATTTTGTGTGGGGTTTTTTTATCAGTTGTTATTTGCCAGAGTTGATTTCTTAAGATAGACAACATAAAAATTAAAATAAACAGAGGGAGGGAGGGAAGGAAGGTGGGAAGGAAGAAAGGAAGGAAGGAAGGAAGGAAGGAAGGAAGGAAGGAAGGAAGGAAGGAAGGAAGGAAGGAAGGAAGGAAGGAAGGAAGGACAGAAAATAATGTAGGGTTGCATTACCACCAAAACTGCTAATAAGAAGGCCAACTCTGGCTACAGAATCCTTTTTGCTCCCTCTAATGATTGGTGTGGAATCAAGAGAAATGGATTCAGGAAAGTATTCAAACTTCATATTGCGGGAAACCAAACGGCTCATTTAAAGTGGAAATTATGTCCTGATTTATATTTTTAAAAAGTTCTGAGAAGTTGTATGCATTTCACATACTCATTTTTTAGTTTCTATTTTGTGTGGTGTTTGTATTGGTTGTTGGCTGCCCAGAGATGATTCCTCCAGATGGGTAGGCAGTGATGGGCAAATAATTTAACAACCAGTTCTCTGCTTGGTTGCTGGGTGGACATGGCCATGGTGGGCGTGGCCTAGTTGGTCTCCTGAACCATCCTGGGAGTGAAAACAGACTGGAGGGCCCATTTTCCACCTCCCTGGGCTTTAGAGGCTCTCCGGAGGATGGAAATAGTCCCATTTTCACCCTCCATGAGCATCTAAGAGGCCTGTTTTCTATCTCCCTGTGCTCCTGAGGCTGGAAATAGGCCCATTTTGGAGCTTATGCGAGGCCCGTTTTCTACCTCTCCGGGAAATATGCATCCCCTGCACTTACCTGGTATCTAAAATGGACCACATGCGGACACTTGGTAGGGGAGATATGGGGTGGAGCAGGTTCAACCTATTGTTTGAATTACCGGTTCACTGAACCAGTTGTAAAATTAACATCCAATTTGTCCAAACTAATGCGAACAGGCTGAAGCCCATCCTGTGGGTAGGCATTCAAATTTAAATAATAACACTACTGCTCCCAATACTAACAGCATTAATCCCAATGCTACTGTGGGTACTCTCTCTATGGATCGAGAAATATAAATATAGCACTTTGTATTCCCAGAATAATTCAGTTTGTTCTATTTTTAGCAGAGGACATCTGTTGTCAACTCAGACATGTCTTCACAGTGCAGTTTGAAGCCTCTTTAGATATTCAGTTTCCTTTCAATCCTTTCAGTTAATTCTTCCAAAAAATGATTGGTTATTCCATTTAAAATGTTCCTCTGTGTCCAATTTTATTATCTGGGATATGGGACTCTTATTTATGTTCCTAGCTCCAATGAAATCATGGAATAATGTTTCAGGAAGCACCATCCAGTTCATTTAAACCAAACTGTCCCTAACAGCCAGATATTATCTGTTTACTTTCAACTAGCCAGATTTTGGAAAGGTTTCCCTTCTCTCCTTTCATCCTGGGTTGATAATGAGATGGATGGCATATAAATTTAATAGATAGATAGATAGATAGATAGATAGATAGATAGATAGATAGATAGATAGATAGATAGATAGATAGATAGATAGATAGAT